GCAAGGTGCTAAGTTATCTAATGGTCAAGGGAAACATATAAGCTTCCCGAAGTTTTAGCTTCTATTTTTTACAATCTCTCTACGTCTTGCAGGTAGGAAGGCCTCCTTGGTGTCAATCTAATCTTTTTCTCCTTCCAGTTCCTCTTTGTTTTTGGTTGGAGTCAGAACTACGGCTGGGCCAGTCCAAAAATTAAACACCGAGAGAGGATGTGATCAAATCAAACAGTGCTTTTATTTATATCTATTTATAACGGTTTGTAAAAATAAAGAGTTAAATCTGTAAAGGTTTCTCTCTTCTGTGTTTTTCATTCATCTTAGGGATCTGTTGTTCCTCAGTTGGTCTGAAACTGAGGTTAACTTTCAGTCTTAGACAACTAGAGGAACCTGAGACATCAGGGCTTTATTATTGATTCACCAGAAACTGAACCAAAAGGAAAACTGTTCTGGTAACTTTAGAGGACAGAGTGCAGTCCAGTAAAAATAACCCAGGAGCCCAAATGTTTATATATATATATATATATATATATCCTATTGGGTTTTGCTGTTATTTGTTTTGCAACTGGACAATTAAAAAGGAGATTTAAACGGCAAAGTGCTTTTTATTGACCTTTTTTTCTTATTAGTATTCATATTTTCTAATTCTTAATCACTTCTTGTCCTTCAGTTACATCAGCATGGATTTTTAGACCTATTTATTAGCCTATGTGTTACCGTGATGTCGGTAAAAACAAATAAACCTTGTATTTTCTCTATTTTTTAGTCATTTAATTTTAGGAATGCGGTTTTCTATCAGAAAGAGGCCCTCAGGAACAACTGGGTGATATTTTTACTGTTAAGGAGCGCCAGTTTCTTCTGCTCTTCGTGTAAAACAGTTCTCGGTCACGTGACTTCCCATCAGCCGCTTACTGCAGTGGTGCGTTCAATTTAATCGGAGATTGTAAGTTCGAAGGAAATTCTATCAAATAATTGCTTTAAAAATAAAATATTAGATTACTATCCTCTGTTTTATAGACTCCTAGAACCGTAGAATCCTAAAAAAAAATGTTTGCTAACTGTCAGACTGGGAAAGTAATTTAACTTATCATAGGGGGATTGAGAAAGTAACTAAATGTAAGTGAACGCATCAGCAGCAGTACATGAACGGGCTGCCAGGGGCTGCTGCGGTTCTCTTCGTCCGCAGTAGGAATGTTTCCCTGGACTCTTCCATGATGGACCCAGACTGGAACCTTTCTGTTTTTATTCCAACAGAGCATCCAGAGCTTCTAACAGGAACTCCCTCCAGTTATCAGCTTTTATTCAGACGGAAGGTGTTAGCCCCTGTTTAAGCTAGCGGCACATTTCCGGGGAGTGGGTGTTTTTATCTCACTTAACTGGAGTTAGCGGGACTCTTTAGGAATAAATGTTTCTGTTCACTGGTAAAGAGTAATGCTGGGTAAACGGGAAGGATTAATCCGCTTTGGGAGGAAAAGCATCAACATCCAGGAAAAAATGGGACTGAGAGATGATGAGTGAAGTGCTGTGGTTCCTCTCCTGGCTGCCTCTGGTCCTGACAGGTGAGTTCACCGCTTACCTGCCTGACAGCTGGAACCTCCGGGACGCTTCTTCATGTTTTCTCATTCATTCCTGGGAAACAAACTGTCTTTATCGGCAGAATCAGGGGGGGTTATTTGTGTCGTCGAAAGCGCTGTTAAATTCGTATCGAGGAAAATTGTCCCTTTCTGCTTTCCGTCGTAGCTGCAATGTTTTCCACCTTCAGATGGTGGACAGGTGGCTTCACGTTTGACTGGAATGGAAAATACTTTGATAGTCAGAGAAACTTTAATTTATTAACCGCAGGATGAATCCAGATCACCACTCAGCCACTACCGTGCTTCATCCTTGGCACAAAGCTGAATTCTTTCTACTTCTGTTGCCTTAGAAACTATTACATGGAGTTATATATATTTATTTTTTTGTTGTTTACAAATTATGAGGAAATGACGGCTTTCATTTGTGTTTTGACCCACTTCTGATGGCCTAAAAGAAGATGCAGGGCAATCACATGCTCTCAGTCCACTGATGTGTTGGTAAAAGAAAAAAATATGGAGTCAAATTTGTTCCATTATTGTTTTGTCCATTATTGGTGGGGTAACGTTTTGTAAATGGAAATAATAATAAAAAAAAAACTATGCAATCCACAAACTTTTTGAAGTTTTTAATAAAATAGCTTATTTGCTATTTTCTTTATTTGTTTCTATACTTTTTTTAAAACATAGATTTATTTATTTTTTTGTGCAAATGTAATTTTTCTACACTGATTTCCTTTCCCATTTAGTTGCGTCCCAGTGTTCACGGGGATGGACGTCTGTGTCTTCGGCAGGCGT